AGCCACATACGATACAACAATTGGTACAACTTGGAGAGGAGTCAAGTTGTGTGCTTCGGACGGAAACGATACAACATTGTGTACAACTTCATTTTTCGAACAGTTTATTTGAGTTCAGATGACACCGGAAAAAACCCGTACTCTGTAATTGCCTTTATAGCTTTTATTTATTATTGATTTTTATAATTATCAGGCATGTCACAGAATGTAAAATCGTTCAAGAGTGAAAACGAAAACGGTTTTAGCTTCTCTAAAAAACGGAAAACGCAAAAATTTTGCGTTTTGATATCACTTTCAAAAAGCAGGGTGAAATTGAAATGTTTAGTGATTTTAACGTAAAAAATAAACAGAAGACACATACATTTAACAGAAAATATTGTATTAACCAAATTCTCTTAGAATGAACATGTTTTTGGAATTTATTTTACAAAAAATCTATTATTTTTCTAATCCATGATGAAAACGCAAAAAAATATGCAGAAATGAACGGCAGACTTGTATTGTTGAATTATTGCCATATGTGTTGAAGAAGAAGGTGTAGAAATGTACAACTGACAGATCAAAAAGCAAATTGCAAGCAATTAATTGCTTGGTTTGAGACAGCTTCAATTGCATTAATAACTCTCCACATAATTGTAGAAACTGTACTTCTCCCAAGGCTTAGCTCCACATCTCTACCTATAACTCCTTGAAATGCACCCGTAGCCAAAAACCTAAGCGTTGTTGCAAGCTGGATAATAGCCGGTATATTGGAACGATTGAGGTGGGGAGAAATTTTTTCCAAAACTAAAACAAAAGCTTCTTTATTTAGCCGATAATAAGTTATAAATCTGTAGAAATAAATTTTTATTAAAATAAATTTGAAAATAACTCATTGCTGGTGGATCCTTACTCTGCATTTGAGTGAGATAAAGGATCTGATGCGTTCCTCAATGTCCGGCGACGAATTTTTTCAGTAGACCGCTGATTTATTTCTTCATCCATTACAGCAAGTATTGAAGCCCCTGGCATTTTTATTTTTGGTGTTTATATTATAAAAAACAATTTAAACTCCTTTTTTAATTGTCAATAATTTGTTTACGACTTTTTTTTCATGGAGTTACCATATTTTTATTTCAAAAATGTGAAATGATTTTTTTTCCGGATTAGTCAAAACGTACGAGTGCTGAAGAAGCAAAAGCAAATCGTAACGATTTGGAAAAGGTGAAATAAATCGATTTCGTAAAACTTCTGTGACATGCCTGAATATTTTATAATAATCACATATTTAATATTATTTCGTATGGTTTACATGTGCACAACAATGGTGTTGTCTCTTCAAAAATAAACACAAAATTAAATTGTATGCGAGATGCCCACAAACGTTACAATCGGTCGGAACAACATGCGAAATATCAAAAAATTTTGATTTTTTTGTGCAACCGAGACACAACTTCATAAAAGCGGCCCACAAAGGATACAATCTTCAAGTTCCACAACCAGTTGTATCGTGTGAGGCTTACATTAAGTTTGATGTACAACAACGCCTGCTTGTACCTAATACAAATTCAAAGTAGATATCCTATGGCAAAATTAATTTGAATTTTTTATGTAAAATATTAATTCCACTATTTCTCGATCTTTAGAAATCTAAAAGCATATACCATGTTATCAATTTGAATATACCATGTTATACCGTTAGCTGTTGTTTTAGGGACATGTGTTTTAATCTCATTTAAAAAAATGATATCCTCATTGTTGATATTCAATAATTAATTCACATTATTACGCTTTAAAGAATAAAACTTCTACTATATTTTAGCTATAACATTACTAACAGGCGTACATCTCGTTTGCTCAGAATATACTACAGTACAACAGAGAACAACACATAATGTGTATTCGCGTTACATTTTATAATGAAAATGTTTGAGTTGTAGTTTTTTTGCACACAATATTAAAAGTCAATCATGTCTTCCGTACATCAAAATTGTTCGTAATATTTGTGCGACTGATTGATATATATCCACAGCAAGTTCATTGACCACAAAGATTAATAATAAACGTGACTAAATACTAAATTAAAGAACAATAATTTTGTAATATATTCCAAAAAGTTTTATTTAGCTCTTTCTATAAAGCTAACCCTCCTGACTAACTCATATACAAATGTGAAAATGCCGAGTACGTGTTATGTTCTGTTTTTAACAATGATGTAATTTGTTAGAATCATTTATTTACTGTCATAACAAATCAACTCACACAAACCTAGGCCAACAAAATGTTTGATGTTTAGAAACAAGTTTTTTATGGCCGTATCGATGACGATTCGAAGTGAATTAAATAATAGTGCAATAATTAATAATAATGCCTTAGCAGAGTGGCGAAAATACATCTGAGAACCATTATTTATTATTTAATTGATGATCGACATTGCAAAAAGAAATTTCTGATGATCAAAAAGCCTCTTAATGACAAATTTGGCAAGATGCTGCCGCCAAAGCTTTCAAAAGATGGTATATTGTGCGAGTTGTGATACGATAACATTAGACATGGAAGGGAACTTTTACTTTTAACAGTGATACTTAAAAATATTTTCTTTTAGATATTAAGTTTAACTTTTATTTGGATTGTATTCCTTTATGGTATTTTATTCCTACAAATAATAGATATTAAAACAACATTAAATAACTCAAATATACAAATTTCCAAAGAAACGTAACCCCCAAAGAACAACTTTAAAATTGTTAGTTAAATTCTGAGAATGAACCCTGCGGATATAATTGTATATATTGAATATTTTTCAACAAGTCGGTTATGCCAACAGATGTATACCCCCAGCCTTGGATTAAGGTTATTCAAACTGTTAACCTATCCGAAGCAGTTGGCCAATATTGACCAATTCGTACTGACCTAAGACTGATAAATGTTACAAAGTGTCAGATTTGGAGCATATGGATTACTTCCTATACTTTATATGAGATATGTGCAAATTTTAAGAAAATTTGAAGGAAATCGAACACTTATATCCAAATTTATCCGAAATCAAAAATTACGATGAATTACATATGCATATCAGATTTCTGGATAAGAAAAATATTTAGTTATAGGAAGTGGTAAAGAATCGATGATTTGTTTCACAATATATGACAGATAAAAGTATTGAAAACTGTGACCCTTTAAGGGTGGGGGTTGGAAGATGTATATCATCTTCACAACAGGTTTTGTGTTAGCAAAAGGGTTTGTGTGTGTGAAATTTGAAGAGAGTTGGATGCTTATTTCGCTTTGGGCGGTTTGAACGGATATCGCTAGATCTACTCCAAATGTCCTGTAAACGTATTTGGTCCAAAGAGACCTAGGGTCTAAAATCGTTATTTCTATAAGACACGTATTGGCCGTATCAAATGATATATACTCAGCCATATGGCTGAGGGTATAATAATTTCACAATTCCAAATACTCAGTTTTTATACCCTTTACCGTACACAGTATGGAGGCTATATTAAGTTTGTCATTCCGTTTGTAACTCATCGAAATAATAATTTTAGACCCACAAAGTATATATTCTGGATCAGCGTAAAATTCTAAGACGTTTTAGCCCTGTCCGTCCGACCATCTGCCGTCTATTGTAACCACGCTACAGTCAAATCAAATTAAGATAGGAAGATAGATATTCGGTATTTGAATGATTTTACCCAAATTTTTCAATGGAATGGAAGGAGTTCTTTGTGAGTACTTTACCCCTCAAAAGAGAATTGTCTATATAGGTCCACAATATCGTATATCCCCCATAAAACAGATCCCCCCGATATTCGGATTTGGACGATTTTAGCCACATTTCACAACGGAATTGTCTGAAAATGCACAAAAGAAGTTCCTTGTGAGTACTTTATGCCTGTGAAGATAATTGTCTATATATGTCCACGATATCGTAACGGTCTCCCCGATATTCGGTATTTTTATGATTTCAGACAAATTTCTTAATGGAGTTGTCATAAAATCCATACAAGTGCTTCCTTCTGAGTACTTGACCCCCCATATTCCGGCATTATACACCGGAATGATTTGAAATTTCATATATAAGTTTCGGAACAGTTACTACAGCCTATGACACAAATTACTTATGCAGGATCACGTCTTCGTATAGCCCTCGTATAACGGTTTTCATTTGAGCGGTATTTTCCGACGAATTTTTTTCGAAATCTTTGAAGATTCTTCCAAATTGCTTAGCTGCTTTTTTACTTTGGCACATATATTGTCGATACCATAATTAGCCTAATTCTACATTTTGAGGTTTTATAAAAAAATGCGGGTCCAAACAGTCGATTGTTTTGCTATAAAAACTTCATGGGAGCCCGGCACAACCATAATCCCCCTGTCCCATCTAATTCGTACGTCCCTGGGCCTTACATAGTGTTAGGTAAGGACCTTATATGAAAACTATAAAGCCGGCATAAAAATAATGGGAATGTCTTTCTTTTTTACGTATCCCGAATTGTAATTGCTTATTTAATTTAATTTGGAGCGAAATTTTTAAATTTTTAGAAATATAATTGAAGAACATACAGCATAAAATAAAACACGGTTTTTTACACAATAAAATAAGCATGTGATCAGAAGCACCGAGTCGCGAATGAAAGATAGTACGGCGATTTCATGACTCAAATCAACATAACTTTTCGATGAACGTCATGAAAATACACACAAATACACAATTTCATTCGTGTGAGTTTGGCATATGTGTAAACACGGCCAATAAATAGCTCGATTTGAACATAAATACTAATCAGAACTAACAGAATAATAATAGACATGAATAAGAAAACACATACTTAAAAACCAATAAGATAATAGCAATGACGTGCTGAATAAACGAAGAGCATTTGATGATGACTAGGACTTTATAATTTGTATAAATAAAAACAAAACTTAATCAACCGTCAAATTGAGAGTAAAAGACATAACTATACACAGCATAACACCTTACAATACACATCACAAAATAATATAAACAAACTCACCTCCACAAGCTCTATTTCGTTAGGTTAATAATGATGATTGTTCGCAGCTAGTTCTAGGTTATTGAACGGTGTCCACAAAGAGAAATTAGTAATACAACGAACAACAAACGTCTGCTACAGTTTTATCTTTCCAAAAAAAATATGTTTAACTATGCAGAGTTAGTATATGCGTGGGGATGTTGTTTTCTTTTTCTTCCTCTGCTATGTTGCCCGTCACACAACAACAACAATAGAATTAACACAAGATTCTTGTGACTTTGATACTTTTACGTTGTTTAATCTTGTTTCGTGTTTTTTGCTATATCACCTTTTCAATTTTAGATAAACACACACTTGGAACTTAATATTCAATTTAAATGACAATACCGTAGAACAGAACAAATGATAAAAGAAAAACAAGTTTTAACGAAATTGCAAATACTTCTTTTATTTCTTCTGTGATTTGCACTACGCCGAAACAAATCTATTTTCACTTCCTTAATATTAAAGTTGTTTATACATTAAAAAAGCAATCACAAAATTCCAGAATTCTACTATTTTATTATATCTCCATTTACTTGCAAAACACACCGTCTCAATGTTTTTTCTTTGCTTTCGCCGAGAATATTTTATTTCGTATGTTCTTCTCTAGGGACATGTAAGTCGACCCACGACTATCGGTTGATTATCTTGGAAAGAAATCGGACAATCGATTATTTACAAATGCGACCATACATCGATTTAACAAATTTTATAGCATGTTCCCATTGGTTTGTTCCAGAACCTGCAAAAATCTAAAAGTTTTGCAGTTTTCTTCGATATCATAAATACAAGAATTTAATTTTTTTACTACCATAAACGATTTCCCTTTATGATATGGAAGAAAATTTCAATATAACCATAAAGGAAAAATCTTGTAGCTTCTGAAACAGAGCATCTATTACTACTGATTTCATGGTAGAAGAATATTGGTGGACGCATCGACACAGCTGCTGGAACAATGAACTGTCAAACCAATTTTGGAATTGAAAATGTTGAATGAAAAATTATTTAAATTTGTAAAAATTATTGGAAAACACCAATTATAATAACCTCCGAATGACGTCGTATAGAAAAACATATACAAATCTACTTATATTTGAAAAACATTTAAATTTTTTTGACATATCAATGCTTCCAAGCGTTGTTGCATCTACCTGTATTCTTCTGCCATGACTGATCTGTTCCAGAACCTGCAAGAATCCATGGCAAAATTACTGTTCTACCTTCAAAGCTACCCCCTAAATACAATTTGTTTCTTTTGGTGGTTTCTGTCAAAACATATACACCTTTTGTGCATGTGTGTGTTGTTTTGAATAAAAAATACAATAATTTGAAATTATTTCAAATTCGGTTGCAAAATAAATTCATATTTTCGACGTTTATGGTCAACGCATTGTACAATTTTGGGATAAAACAGTATTATCCTTCTATTTTATGGTATGTTCCAGTACTACAAGAATGTAAAATTTTTACTACGATAACCGATTTTCCCTTCATGATAGAAAGAAAAAATTGCAAAACTGGTAGATTCTTGCAGGTTCTGGAACAGACCATTAGATTCAATCTTGTGGAATAACCCCAAAAATGCTCTGTTCTTTATGTATTGTTACGAATATAACTTTAGATTTAAGTTAATTTAGATGAATTCCGCTAATTTAAGAATTTGAATTGTAACGTAAATTTCTACTACGCAGTTTATTTGAATAACTTCACAACAACAACTACTGTATAGATTTTTCTACATCCTTCCATTTCCTCTTTCATTTTCTATTTTGTTGCTGACGTACAATTCTTGTTAAACGTCATCATTGATGATCGCTTAATTCCTCTTTCTTTGTTACCCCCTCGCCTGTGTATGTGTTGTTGTTATTGTTCACTCAATGTAAGTTTGTATGTGTTCGTTGCATTGGTAGATTGTTCGTAATCTAGGCGTTACCAGATCGTCTAGAAACTTCTGTAGCGACAGGCGAGGCTCATATAAATAGGGGAAATGGAAAGGCAGTTAGTCAGTTGTGAATGAGATCGCGAATTGAAACCGTCAAGGAAAGTAAAGTGCAAAGTAAAGTTGTGTGAATAAAATCATTGTAATAATCGTAATCCGAAAGAACCCGCGTTTTATTTGGTACGAACTGTATTGGGAAATAAAACAACGTCTACACGGGATTAAGTAAAATCCAAGAACGTAACAATTGGTGTCGGAAGTGAGATTACGATAATACTACGATGAAGTTTAAGGATCTACGAGTGGAAGACTTGAAGAAGGAACTTAATAAATTGGAATTGTCCTCTACTGGCAACAAGGCTGAACTACAAAAACGTCTGTTGGATGAGTTCGAGCGCCGTGGTATGAACATCGATACATATGAGTTTGACAGTAAGGATGAAGTGGATTTATCGGAAATGGGCGAATCCAACGGTGGGGAAGTCTCGTCAGTAGCTGCCAGGGGTGACGATTTCAGAGAAATGCTAGCCAAAATGTTTGAGGAAAATTTCAGAAGGTTCGAAGAAAATTCAAGAATAACGAACGAGAAACTCGAGTACATTGCAAAAGTTATTGGAGGGAGAGTGGAAACCGTGGAGGTCCAAATTAAAGAGTTGGATAAGAAAGTGCAGTCGGTTGACGAGAAATTTCTGTCCCACGACCATAGGGTTACAAATCTGGAGAAGAAAATTTCGGAACTGGAAATCAAAGGTGGTCCGGTGCGAGTTCCTGATAACACACTAAAAATCAAACCTCCTGTATTCGACGGCTCTACGTCATTCAATGTTTTCAAGTTACAGTTCGAGACAGTGGCTTCTAGAAATTCGTGGAACGACAGCGACAAAGCGGTTGCACTACTTCTGGCATTGAAGGGCAGTGCTGCTGATGTTATACAGAGTATTCCTGTCGCTTCTAGAAACAACTATGAAGATGTTATTGCTGCACTGGAACGTAAGTACGGTGGCGAACATAAACGAAACATCTACCTTATGGAATTAAGGGGAAGAGTACAGAGGGCAAACGAGACGTTACAAGACTTTGCAGCTGAGGTGGAACGTTTGGTGCTAATGACGTATCCAGGAGAGGATCACCCATTGCTGGACCGTATGAAAATCGAAACCTTTGTGAATGGCATACGTGACCCTGAGATTAAGTATGCAACATATGCGTCACCAAAAGCATCATTTTCCGAAACTGTGTCGTTTGCCCTTGCCCAAGAGACGGCAAGAATAGTTGTTAAGCCCCAGACCCACAAGATTCGCCAACTAGAGACCGAAGGTTGCGAACCCAAATCTCTCGTTAACTCGATCGAAGACGCCATGAGGCGGGTAATAGAAGAGACAAAGTTAGTTGGGATGACTAAGCCCAGGGTTAGATGCTACAACTGCGATAAAGCAGGTCATATTGCGCGCGAATGCAGAGCTAAGCGCAAACGATCCAGGTCATCGTCACCACCTCCAACGAAAGATGGTAGAAGAATGGCCCAACAGTCCACCAATGAGTCACAGTTAAACTAAATCGAGCCAGTCCAGCGGGGCATGAACTGGCTCCCATCGACGATGGCCCCACAATCTCCATAGCAATAGTACAACAGGAAAGTCACAACCTAACAACAACTGGGTACATCAATGGTGATAAGCGAGTTCTGACGTTAGATACTGGCGCATCAAAGTCCATCGTAAGATCAGATCTGGTAAAGGGAAAAATAACGCAACTTAATGGAGTCAGACTGCGCACAGCAACGGGGGAGCCCGCGGCAGTACACGGCAAGATTACCCTGAGACTAACTATTGCCAATAAATCGGAGAATTACGAGTTTATAGTTGCCGATATCGTAGACGAAGTGATAATAGGCGCAGACTTTATGATTGCCTTTGGTATCAATCTGGATATGAAAGAACGTGTGATGACCTGGTCTAACGTCGAAATTCCGTTAAACGTGGGCTACGATGAAAGTACACCCATTAGACGTCCGACCACGGACCATCCAGAGATAATACCGCCCTGTGCCGAAGCAATAATATGGGTACCAATGAATGGAGATTGTGGAGCCGAGAAGTTGTGGGTGGTGGAACCAGCAGAAAACAGAAACAGTAACATCCTAATAGCGATTGCCCTGGTGAAAAGCAACAAGGACGTATTAATTCCTGTTAGAGTTTTGAACCTGTCAAACAAGCAAGAGCAAATTTGCCAATTTTCCGATGTTGGACAATGCACACCAGCTGAAGCTGTAGTTAATTTGGAAACTAGCACCGAAAAGCCAGCTGCCATGGAGAAGAAGCACCTCGACGGCTACATAAAAGAGTGGACACACCAATTATCACCTTCCGAGAGGAACAAGGCTAAGCAGCTATTATGGAAATATGCCTCTACCTTTGCGTTGACAAAAGAGCACCAAGGAAGAACATCAGTGGTGAAGCATGAAATCAATACAGCAGACGCGAGACCCATTAAACAGCCTCCAAGAAGTGTTCCCCTGGCAAAAAGAGACGAGGTTCAGAAGCTGATAAGTGAAATGGAAAAGAGTGGTGTAATAGAACCATCGTCAAGTCCATGGTGCTCCCCAGTGGTCTTGGTCAAGAAGAAAGACGGAAGCACCCGATTTTGTGTGGACTACAGAAAGTTGAATGATGTCACCAAGAAAGACAGCTATCCGCTCCCAAGAATCGACAACACATTGGACACATTAGCCGTGACGTCATGGTTCTCCACCCTCGACCTGCAGAGTGGGTACTGGCAAGTAGAGATGTTCAATGTCATGCCATTCGGACTCTGCAACGCCCCGGCTACATTTGAAAGGCTGATGGAGCGTGTGTTAAAAGGGCTGCAGTGGAAGTCGTGCCTCATATACCTGGATGACATCATAGTCATGGGACGCAACTTCGACGAACACATCAAGAACTTAAAGGATGTTCTACAGCAGCTTTCGTCTTCAGGCCTCAAGCTGAACCCAAAGAAGTGCAGTCTCTTCCAACGAGAGGTGAAGTTCCTGGGGCACCACGTGACGCCGGAGGGCATATCGACGGATAAGGAGAAAATTCAAGCCGTCAGAGATTGGCCGCAGCCCCGAAATCTCCATGAGCTGCGAAGCTTTCTGGGTCTCTGCACATACTACCGTCGATTTGTCCAAAATTTTGCCAACATCGCCGCCTGTCTACACCGTTTGACGCAAAAAGGCCAGAGGTTTCAGTGGGGCAACGACCAGGAGGAGGCATTCAGAAAGCTCAAAGACATGCTATGCAGAGCCCCCATTTTGGCATACCCTATACCTGGCGGCAAGTTTGTCCTGGACACAGACGCAAGTGCGTGCGGCATCGGTGGCGTCCTTTCCCAGGAAATCGACGGACAGGAAAAAGTCATCGGGTACTACAGCCGGACATTGTCGAAACCTGAGAGGAATTACTGTGTGACGAGGAGAGAGCTGCTTGCTGTCCTTGAGTGCGTTAAACACTTCCACAAATACCTATATGGCCAGCATTTCCTGCTGAGGACCGACCACGCTGCTCTCCAATGGTTGCTGCAGTTTAAGAATCCGGAAGGTCAACTAGCCCGTTGGATCGAGAGGCTCCAGAGTTATGACTTCAGAATCGAGCACAGAAAAGGCGGAAAACACGGTAATGCTGA